TTTTTCTAAAGATAATTTTTTTTGTATTTTTAACGGGTCCTTTGTTATCCGTTAAAACGGAAGGTTCAATAGTTACAAAATCAAATCTATCTTTTATATTTTCTGAAATTAGCCAAAAATCAATACGTGATTGTAGAGATTTGTCCCCATTACTCCATGTATACAAGAGTGACTGTGGCTTTTTATATCACCAAATTTCAAGTATGTTAAATCTCGATCATTTCAGTTCTCCTCTGGCCAATGAACTAACCGTGTATGATTATGATTCAGGCAGCATTATAGGTCAGAAGTCAGATTGGATCAGAACATTCAGAATATTTTCCAGTTCCATCTGGTTGAAGATCAGTCTTCACGCTAGTATGGAGACGAGTTTGTTGAGGATCAGTGCTGATGGCTGCGTCGATGAGGCCTTCACAGGGGGGAGAGTCTAGTTGACACTAGTGGTCGACCGATATTGTTTTTTTGATGGCCGATATATCTTAGAGAGCAGGGTGGCCGATATAAAGCTGATATTTTTAAAAGTGCGTGTATATATATATACTTTATATTTATTTTAATCAATTTAATAAATTATAAATAAATTGGAAAACAAATCTTTAAAATAAACATGCTTATACTTTAGATGGCAACTTCTTGAATCTGCAATCCTATTACAGTTGTTTTTTTTTGTTTTGTTTTTTTCACAAATAAAGTAATTGTTTAAAAATATATTTATATGTGAATAAAAAGGAAGTAAATACGTTAACGGCACTCCGTAATCTGGTAATTTCGTGCTCACTCACTGGTAATCATATTTTTTCAAATAAAGACAAGGTAACGCTAGTTTTACATAGCCTACAGCACACGGTGAAACCGATATGAATATGAGACAGTGGGCAACTGGATATAGCACAGCATATTTTAAAATGAAGGGTTTAAAGTTTTTCGATCGCGTCTCCTGGGAAGCTGATCTTCTGTTCGCATTCACTCACTTCGCACGGACCGACCGTCACTCGCAGGAACACGTTTATGCAGGCTACAAATGCACACTTCACAAGATATCACAGCTGGAATCGATTAAATCTGCAAGGTTTGTGAAATTTAATGTTTATTAGATATTCAGAGATTTGTTTAAATGTAGATGCGCATGCGCATTTGCTGAATGATGACGGTTTATGAGAAAGTATTTTAGCCTGATTGTTTGCCTTTTCAGTTACAAATAATATAAAAGCAAACGCTTAACTTTTTCGCATACCATTTACTTTCTTTGTTTACCAGTTGTGTCTAACAAAGTGTTAGATATGACTGACAGAGATCGTAAACTAATGAAGATGGAGAATGTGAGTGAGCGCTGTGTGATCAGGCGCTGCTGTTCTCTTCTCAGGGCTGGTGTTCTCAGCGCCGCCCGTCAACATAAAAGTCTGGAGCGCCATCAAAATAAAATTCCCGTTTCCAACACATCGGCCAATCAGAAAAACTGATCGGCCGATATTTAAAAAATGCCAAATATCGGCCGATATAGCCACTAGTTGACACAATCTTTGCTGACACTTCAGGGATGCGTTGTGGTCGTGTCCAGGCACAGGTCCTCCATTTGATCTGGATACGGCCCGGATTCGGCTGACTACAGTAAACCTCGGAATAAACAGAAAGACTAACAATAGCTTAGATGCCATTCTTATGATGTTAGAGTACATTGTGGGTTTTAGGAAGTGTTCCCAGTTCCGGCTGACCTAGTTTATGCGGCCTAACAATCATTTAACTGATTTCAATAATAGTAATTGATAATGTTCTGTGTATGCCAGGTTAAAGAGATGTCGTTTTAGTCGAGATTTAAACTTGATTGTGTCTGCTTCTCGAACAATGCTAGGAAGACTGTTCTAAAGTTTAGGTGCTAAATAGGAAAAGGATCTACCGCCTGCAGTCGATTTTGAAATTCAATTATCTACTGGCCAGAATTTTGAGATCGCAATAGACGTGACGGACTATAATGCGTTAAGAGCTCGCTCAAGTACTGGGGAGCTAAACCATTTAGTGCTTTGTAAGTAATCAGCAATATTTAAAAATTTATACAATGTTTAATAGGGAGCCAATGCAGTGTTGACAGAACCGGGCTAATATGGTCATACTTCCTGGTTCTAGTGAGAACTCTAGCTGCCGCGTTTTGGACCAGCTGGACTTTGTTTATTAAGCGTGCAGGGCAACCACCCATAAGAGCATTACAATAATCTAGCCTTGAGGTTATGAACACATGAACTAACTTTTACCCTTTTGTCATTGAAAACACATCATCTTTGCCAGCATTAGTTTTTTTTAATGAAACAAAAATCGTTGTCTTTTCTTTTCTTTTACTTTTACAAAACAAAAACATTCTTTTTAGCATGTCCCATTATATACCCCTGGCATTAACAGAAAATATTTTTATTGACATGAACTTGAAAGACAATAAAGAAAGAAAAAACTCTTAATAGAAGATTTAAATGAACAATGAATAAGTTGGGATGAAAGCAAACAGACTTTTCGTATCAAATCTTTCTAAGATTCTGAACCCGTAGAGCAGTGGCTTAAATTTTAATCACTTTACCATCTACGATTGCCTTGATTCCAAATAAGAAGGCCCTCTTGCCTTCTTTCCGTGTCAATCGAAGGCCAAAGGAGATTCTGCGTAGCTCTGTTTTTGATTGTGAGGTCTTCTTTGAAGTACATCTTGTTCTTCATCAGAAAGTCACTTCCCTTTGCTCCTTTCCATGTGAGATCTCGAGGAAGTTCTGGAAGCGAATCTTATTATTACAGGCCCTGGTTTCTTTCCTTTGCCACTGTCTGCACTAGGTCTTCCAACACGTTGAGAAATGTCAACATTGTTCGCCACGAAGTTATGCTCTTCCTCGACAACCACTGCTTTGCAGATCTCCATCACCCGAGGCTTGACATTATTCTCGAAACATTAGGAACACAGAAGCGATCCTGGTCACTTTAATCTGTCCTCCAAGTCAGACACCCGCTTTAGGAATCTCTTCATTTTTGTTTTTCAAAAACAAGGCTGCCCTTCATCTGCATGCCATGCAGGCTAGAATTGAGAAACATTATTGGATAATTCTTATAATGTATATTTCTCTGGGCCAATCGGAATCTTAGCACTCTTTCTCTTGGCCAATCGGAATCTTAGCACTTGCGTCAGAATCTTGAAGCACACAGCGTCTACTGAGCTCGCCATTGGATGAGACACCACGCGAGTCTGATGGAAACTCATAACGTGTAGGAATCATAGACTGTAAAAAATAGGGTAGGAATCTTTTGTGAAATTCGAGGTAAGTCAAGCTTTTTGGAGCAAAAACAAAAGCTATTTATTTGCTTGATTCAATTGACGTTAGCTACCGCTTTTTATGTGATATCATTTACAATAATATTGTATTGTCTAGGGGTAGAACGGTACATGCAAGTTATTCGTATTGAAACGAAACGGTACGGGCGTCACGGTTCGGTGGACGAATTTGCACAGAGAATACACGGTATAAAAATAAATAAAACTCTAGATAGCGATAAATTCCGCTCTATTCACGTTTGGTGTGAACGCAGCATAATGAACAGGCTGCGATATCAAGATTGCAACGCTGGAGTGTGTGTGTGTGTGTGTGTGTGTGTGAGAGAGTGAGTGTGAGAGGCGCGGGCGCGATCGAACAGTGGAAACATAAAAACATACTCCGTAATTTTGTTAACACAGGACATCATTCAAACTGCAAAGTGTTTACTTATGTGTACACTCGCAATAAAATACAACATTGTGCTTTTGTCAAACTATAAACTTGTCAAATTGTAACCTACAACTGTCACCCAACCAAAAACACACACACAGTTTTAAAAGCAAAACATATTTATCCAACCCCATTTCAAAACAGTCTGTGGGTTCCATTTTTCGGACATTCATCATATCGCATTGGTTTTTATTTCTTGTCCTCAAACAGAGCTCTAATCTGTTTATTTTTAAGTTGCACATTCTACATTAATTAAAAAAGATGTTTTTGATGGTAGTATTATTTTGTACGGAATTATTTATAATTCAGATGAGAATAAAGTTAGGGTTAATTAAAATTAAGGAAAACAAATTGATCTGAAATTACAATTACCAAACTAGCACTTCAAAATCATTTGCATAATTAATTATTTTGAATCTTATTGCCATTTAAGCAAGTCAATTACCATTACAATTACAAAACTACAATTACCAAACATATCTCAAGGTCTTTTTGTCTTTTTATTAATTTAATTAATAAACTAATTGTATAAAACTATTGTCAGTGCACTACAAATAAACTGGTTCTAAGCCTTTATTAATACAAATTCAAGGCTTAAGACATTTATAAAAATGCCTTCTATATTTTTGTTTTGCTTTTCACTCCATCGTACCGAACCGTGATCTATGAACCGAACCGTGACTTCTGTGTACCGTTCCACCCCTAGTATTGTCGTCATACCTATAAATTACGTTAAGCTATGCTAAAAGTGGTACCGCCAGACCTGGAGATCGGCTGAATGGTTTCCAAAACGGTAAAAAACAATAGTTTTACTCGAGTGGAGGTGGAAAATAAGCTTAATTCCCCAAATGGTGGAATATCCCTGTAACGTTAGCTAGGCTTATCGTTAGCCGGGTACCCAAAGTTTAGCAGCTTATTTGCATTTTGCACATTCAACTTGATGAGCAGATGTTTCCTGATAAAAAGAGAAGTAAGTCTTTAATTTAACTCTCCCTTGAGAATCTGTTGCATCAGTTAACCGGAGATGTCTTTTGAAACTTATTGCCTCTGACAAATGCTAAAATAAATTAAAAGCATTCAAATTGCAATTTATTATCTTTCCTTCCACTTAGTACTCTTTCAGACATTCAAATATCCATATCCTATACAAAAGAAAGAAGATAAGTTCACAGATAATGAAGGCCTTTTTTTTGGATGTCTTTTCATGAGGCACTGAAGAAAAGTTCCTGGGTGTGTTTAAAGAGGAGAGCATAACCTGCACATTGCTTGTTCTTGTAGATTATAGTCTGATAGGCTTCCCCCATAAATCTCCCCTTTGAGGTTTGTGATATCAGATGTTATTAATGCTTCACTGCTCTTTAATGAAGGACTCGCTGTACGTCTCTAGTGTTTTCAACGGTAAAGGCATCAATAGCGCAGCGAACACCAATGGGACTGGTAAATATTATTTTTGTTCTGCACTCTTAGAAAAAATGTTCTATATATATAACCTTAAAAGGTTCTGTCAGACGTTATGTAGAACCTTTTAGGGGTTCCTGTCATTTTATGGATTTAGTTTTAGTTAATTTATGTAGTTTTAATTCGTTTTTCATTATAATTAAATGTTATGAATTAAACCGCTTGTAAACATACTTTATCACTAGAATTTGTTTTAATAACCTGTAAACATGAAAGTATTAAGCAATAATTTAAGACATTTCTCTTTATGTAGAACCTTTCTGGCATTGAGTCAAGGACCCTAGGGTTCTGTAAGTTTAGTGCTTTTCCATTTTTAGTTGAAAACGGTGGCACCTAAAACTAAACAAGGCAAACTTTTTATGGGTTTTGGCCGTTCATTTACACAACAACAGCATTTTGGGGGCCTGAAAATGCCAATTTTTGAAACTACTGTTATCGTCTCTGTGTAAACTACTAAAACACAAATTTGTGAAAATGATGTCGTGAAAATGATGTCGTGCGCATGCTTATTACATGTTCAGTCTATAGGCGCGTAGTTTTTTTTTACAAAGTGTTGTTACATTTACAAAGTGTACAGAATATAGCGTTTTTAGCCGTTTTCACTGTGTGAACTTTACGTGAAAAACGCGAAGGAAAAACGTTTTCACATTTTTAGTACAACGGACCTTCTGTCTTGCCCTAGTTCTAGTTTGTTCATTAGTTGTCATAGTGTCGAATTAGTCCTCACATGTTCCCTGTTCTGTTGATTACCTTCCTCGTGTATTTAAGCCAGGGTCTCCGCGGGTCCTTAAAAAGTCTTAAATTAGATTCTTTAAATTTAAGGCCATAAAAAGTTTTAAAAAGTCTTATTTTTACTTATGAAAGGTCTTAAATTTTCGATGGCAATTTGAATCAGACATATCTAAATGTTTTCCAAATTAGAACCATCTAATTAGCGTACTTTTTTATTTATTATTCTTTCTTTGTGGATCTGCTTGTTCACGTGACACTTCGCGTCACATTCGCGGCATTATTATGTCTGTCTCCTGCACGCGAAACAGGAGGAGAGAAGAAGAAAGTTGGTAAATGTCAGTTCAATTGTAAGTTCATTCTTTATGTGCGTAGTGGTGTGCAATGTGTATGGTCTATGATATTGTAATCATTGTTTTAACGATGTACGTGTTCGAGGCACTGCGAGCTGACATCGCTTTTCTCTCGTGCTTTCACTGCGTGATATGTGTAAGTTACGGTTATAGGTATGTTCCCAAATTAGTTTTTGTCTCATATTTATATCATATTATGTTGTTATCATAGGCCTACAATATCACATCAGCAAGAGTTCCGTTTTCCTGTGCACAATTGCAAATGTGACTTATTTTATATAACAGTTAAATTAACATTGTGAGTTACATTTTATAAACAATATTGTCAATATTGTTTGCTTTCCCTTCCCTGATTGGAATTTCGAAATGAAGCCATAGCAGATCGAGTGTCAATGCAACCGACAGCGATGATTTTTTTTTAAAATAGAATCCGCGTTTTGAACGAATCAATTTAATGATTCAATGAACAAACACTTGCTTCTTTCCCGAATGAATCAGTTTGATCAAATCGGTTGAATGAACGACTCCCTCAACTCACTTAAGACAGTGACTTGCCGCCACCTACTGGCAGTTTTAGTTTCACATTTAAAGTACCCTTTAATTAGAATGTTAAATATGAACTGATTTTTAATTTTAACGATCTCATAGCTTTATTTATGCAATTTTAAATGCAGTGTAAATATATTAATGCCAGATCTGATGCCACCTCTGTGTCACCTCTGCACTGCAAAGATGGATTTTGATTTAATGATTTAATTTGACTGGTAACCGTGGTATTGTGTAATTATTCTAATATAATTTAATTTGAATGTTAGAATTTGACATAAAAGTTGATGCATACATCTACAAATGTCCATATATAGATGAAAATGTCCCTGGAAATCTATTTAAGGTGGCAAATATTACCTTTAAAATATCGAGACATATTTTGTCAATATTGCACACTCCTAATGCATGGTATTAATTTTGATTTCTTCGGGCCTTAAATTTGACTTTAAAAAGTGTGCAGAAACCCTGTAAGCCCACAGTCTTCCTCAGTTCTAGGTCTTGTGTTGAAGTTACATTCTAGTGTGTATTTCTATATTGTTCCTGGTGTTTATTAAATGTTATTTCATCGTCTTTTTGCATCACGCATTTTTATTTGGTTCATCACTACAGCTAAACTGGGACAATAGATCCCCATTGGACTCTTTTCTTTCTAAAAGTGGGATGTGATCATGCTTTTAAAGTGTAGTTTCATGATATCTTTACTTTTTCTTCTTCTCAGCATAACTCTCATCCGAAGCTTTACCCGGGAGATATTCTTGAGTTTCCCGGAAACAGTTACTTTTCTCATTTTGGAGTTTACTATGGTGAACGGGACGGAGTTCCTTACGTGGCCCATCTGACCATCAGAGGTGAGTGTGTGCGCGATCTGTTAAGAGTGAAATCTGAAATCTCATAACTCATTCTCCCATCATCTCTCTTCAAGATTCAGACACCAAACTCCTCCTCTTCGGCCGAGCTTTAAACGCCGGAGTAAAGCTTGACCCGCTTGATGTAGTCGGGAAGAGATACAAGGTAAGAAACTACTTGGATGACAAGCATCCACCCCGAGATTTCTACTCTCTCATCAAGCCGGAGATCGATGACATCATGGCGAAACCCATCACCTTTGACATCCTTTTCAACAACAGCGAACATCAGGCCACAATGTTTCGATACGGGATTAAAAAGTCAGAGCAGGTGAGAAATATTTTCTAATTCTAAACATGATTATCATCTTTTTCATTGTAGAGTCGACTTATTACATTTGTTCTGGAAAACATCATTGGCAGTTGAGTAACACTTTTGAAAATTGTTTCCAGATTGAAAAAGTCTATTTCAAGATAGTTCCCACCTGGAAAGATTTATTTGAGAAGAAAAAGCTTTAAGGGACTCGTGCTGCATGAAGACAAGAGTTCAAGATCATACAAAAACATACTTTCTTTCTTAAATAATTCTTAAATGAAACAAAATATTGGAACCTACTGATGTCAAATATGCAAAATTATTTGAAGTTGCATACAGTCTGAACAAATGGAAAAACCACAATACTCTTTATTGTATTGAATGTTTTGTTATGTGAATTGAATCTTCTGGTTCAAGTCTCGCATGTCTCCACAAGGAGGCGGCAGACAGTAAAGGTCTACATTGCATTGAACAACAGGAATGATAAAATGTCTTCATTTACCAGAAAAATGTCTCTAACATATTAATTTTCTTTTTTTAAAAGTGTCTCATTCGTAACTAGTATATAACTGATAAATGAAATGACTCTGGCCTTTTATTAATGTAAATGTGACAAATAATCTGCAGATAATCATGTGCAAAAGCCAACAAACATTGGTCTCATCTGTAACTAGTATAGAAATTAAATGAAATGTCTCTGACCTTATGGATTTATACTATAAACGTGATGAATAATCTACAGATTTTCATGTACAAAACGGCAACTAACATTTTGTAAAACTAGAAAGTTATTAAAATGGCTTCCACGAAAACCATCCGAGTCATTTGTGTAAAAAATTTTCCCCACTTTAGTTAAAGCTTAATGTATTTTATTAAAGCTTAATTTTATTATTATTAAGAAATTCCCATTGAATATCTATATTGAAGACTTATTGAAGACAAGAATTTTGACAAGCAGATAAACTTCATCTGCCCAGCAGGGGGCGAATCATCATCATCATCATCATGTTGACTGATTTATGGATAGAACGCCTGGAAACAATGATGACTGAAGAGCCTCTTGTTGCTTTATTTTGGATGATCTCAGTGTTCACTGTGGCATGACGGAAAAGGATGCAGATGTACAGTGTGTGAGAGGGACAGTTCCCTAAACAGAGGGTAGTAGAAAAAGGTCATAAGACTAACTATAATATCAATGTAGAGGGAAGCCTCCCACTCTTATAGGTGCACTTGCTTATGTTGCGCCATGTTGGCTGCTTAAAAATGTCAGCTAATTATTCAAATCGTGTTTAACACTTAAAGGCAGGGTTTGCGATTTGTTCCAGAAAATGTTTTTGTTTTATGCTGGTTTAAAGTCTCTTCACATCCTGATTGCAATCACTAAGTTAAGTGGTCTGTGTGTGTGTGTGTGTGTACATACATACACACACACACACACACACACACACACATATAGATGTTATATATATATATATATATATATATATATATATATATATATATATATATATATATATATATATATAAATAACATACACAGATGTTGTAGTGAGAACTTTTACTAAAATAAGTTACGTTTTTTTGATATATATTTTCATTTGCCATGGCAGCATTTCTTATTTTCATTTAACTTTAACTGATATAAAAATTGATTTAAAAAATGTATATAGAGTATAGACATATTTAAAAACAAACAAATAAAATTACTAAAACGAAAATAAAAACAGACTGTAAATGTAAACTAATTCAAAATAGTCACATTCGCATATATATGCAGTATATGCATATATTTGTCAGTCACATTCTCAATATTTGTGTTTAGGTTCAGTAAAGCTATGTAGATCATGCAGTTAGTCATTAATCTTGGCTTAAAGACTAATAATTGTTAAAGTATAGGATCATCTCATCTGATTATTGGATTTAAACATTTATTTTGTGGTGAATTAACCTTTATTATGTAATTAAACAGTATATTAGTCTGTGTGCCTAGTGTAATGTGCCCCTTTTTTTATTTTTTTATTTTGTATTTTTTGTCATCTAGATTTGTAGATTTGACATCTAGACGTAAATATACATTTTCTTTTAGGAGACTGAAATCAGACATATTTTCTTTAGATTTATTTTGTTGCACTGTTTGAAGTAGGACCAGTGGTACTCTAAGAATTAATAAATCATTGAAAACCGATGTAGCAGCCCTGCCTGTTTTAGGGGTACAAATAACAATTATTCATTATTTATTTAATTTAATTCAGGATCTGAATTTCGGTGTGGACATTCAGTCACAGTGTGCATAATTTGACCAATTACTGCAAGTTCCAAGCTTATGAAAAAAATATACTTTATTGTATTTGAAATAGATTCCTTTTCAATAGTACATTCCCATGGTCTTTTTCTTTTTAAAGAATCTATCCGACAGAATCGGAATACTGAACGTATTTAGACAGAACAATAGACATAAAAATAGAGACAGAACGATAGACAGAATGGCAGACAGACCAACAGACAAATATAGAAAGAATGGATGGTGTCAGACAGACAAAATGACAAACAGAATGATAGACAGAATGACATTCAGACAGAAAGATAGACAACACAGACAGACAACAACAGCAAACAGAATGACAGACAGAACCACCAGACAATAGACATATAGAAAAATAGAATGACAGACAACAAAAGACAGACAGAAAAATAGAAGAATGACCATAGATAGATAGATAGATAGATATCCTAGGTTGAAATGTTGGTATTACCCATGAGAAATTCAACCTCTGACAATGACATAATCTAATCTCCAAACATACCGTCAAACACAAGTGTAAGCATTCCCATCTGTGTGTATACAAACATACACCTGCGCATGACGTCAGTGGCGGTTCTACATTGAATTACACCCTGGGCGAGACTAATTCAAAATAGTAATAAAAAGGTATAATAGTATCTCAGTGATACTAAAATACTGACATTTTCAACTATTTAAAACCTTTACTAAACAAATTATAAAATTGAGATGCAAAATATTATCTACAAGACTTTGAATGGAGGCTGTATGTTTGGTGGTTAAAACTGAAATAGTTACAAAATAAATTGTGAAGAAGAATAAAACTTAGCAAACACTAAAATGATTTAGCAGACCAATCTTTCCTGTCCATCTCACTTTTAACTGCTTTTGCACAGTCATTGTGATGTACATGTTCCTTTGGTGATACTTACAAGGCACTTCAAAATCATTTGCATAATTAATTATTTTGAATCTTATTGCCATTTAAGCAAGTCAATTAACTCAAACAGTTACAGTGGCAGCAAAAATACACTGTCACAATGAGTTCTGTGTAATTCAGCTGTTATGTTGTGTTAAAGGGATAGTTCACCCAAAAATGAAAATTCTGTCAGTAATTACTCACCCTCATGTTGTTCCAACCCCGTAAGACTTTCGTTCATCTTTGGAACACAAATTAAGATATTTTTTATTAAATCTGAGAGCTGGATCACTCCTCCATAGGCTTCTTAAGGGATCGAAACTGGCCCAAAAGTTGTAGGCCTAATATTTAACTGGACTTTAATCACAAGTTCTCCAAGGCATGCATTCAGATGAAAGGATACATAATTATAATATTTATAAGCACACAAATGACTTTGATAAAGGTAGGGATTTTGTAAATGGTAAATGGACTGCATTTATATAGCACTTTCACAGACCCAATGGCCACCAAAGCGCTTTACATATTGCCTCACATTCACCCATTCACACACTCATTCATACACCGACGGCGGTGATAGCCAATCAAGGCGCCATCCAGCTCGTCGGGAGCAGCTGGGGTTAGGTGTCTTGCTCATGGACACCTCGACACTTGGTCAGGTGGAGCCGGGGATTGAACCACCAACCTTCCAGTTTATGAACCACTGAGCCACTGCCGCCCCAACAATATTAATTTGTATTACTCATATTCACTGTTTTGACAGCTTCCTTTTAAAATATTATAGAACTTGTGTGAAAATCCTTTCCGGTTATTATATGAAAGTTAAATAAAAGCAAAGAATAAGCAGTCTGCAAATACTCATCTGGTATACGCATCAGTTCTTTGTAAGAAATCCATCTGAGAATAGAAAGGCTTATCAAAGCAAAAGGAAATAACCGAACCGAAACCCCAGTTTCATCTGTTAAGGTTCTTCTCTATTGTTTGCGATATGAATGCTAGATTGAATCCCATAATTAATTCACTGAGCAGCATTAACACGTTTAACAGCAGAGCTAGAGCTCAAAGAAATCTCTCACGTCACTGGAACTAATTAAACCAGCACACGTAAAAGAAAAAAAGTATTATTACTGCTTTTTTGGATGAATATAAATAGAACTAATCACTTGCACTTCTTATAGCTCCTATAAGCACAAATAATTAAAGATGAAAAATCAGCTTTATACCCAAGATCAAAAAGAAATGTAGACCGAGAATGCATTGAGTGTTTGAGGACTAATAGTATGGTAATTTGAAGTTAAAACACTGACACGATGACTTGTTTCAGGATAAATGGACAGAAATGATGAGCCAAGAGTGTTTTTAAGTGGCCACACGAAGAGTTCGGACATCATGACATTCTCGTACTTTTAAAATCCCAACAGCTTGAAGTGGGATATAATGACAGCCTGAATAATAACCTGTTAACTTGCGTGGATCAGTTGACACAAGCTAGTAGTGCAATGCTAGGGCAGAATCAGTACTATCACACACTCATAAATGTAAACTAAATACTTTTAAGTACAAACACCTAAAATGAATTATTCCTCAAATTATGCATCTTATTGAAAGGTGTGCTGGTACTTTACTAAGATATGGAAATAACGATTTGATGATAAATCCCTCAGATTTGCATCGAAGGGCCTGAGCCTGATCACTTTTGAATTTGACTACCTAGTAACCACTCACATTTCAATGTAAAAATAAAGAATATAGGTTGTTTTTTCGTTGCAAAATGTAAACTACATTATTGCTTGGCTAAAAGTTGGATATATAGTACATCCAACTTTACCTGCATGCATACAATATACTTATGTAAAGCAATATACACTCACCGGCCACTTTATTAGGTACCCCATGCTAGTAACGGGTTGGACCCCCTTTTGCCTTCAGAACTGCCTCAATTCTTCGTGGCATAGATTCAACAAGGTGCTGGAAGCATTCCTCAGGGAGTTTGGTCCATATTGACATGATGGCATCACCATCACCAGATCATCACCAGAGGATGGGTACATGGTGGCCATAAAGGGATGGAC